TATAATTTGTGTCTCTAAACTGTATCTGCAGTAAGGCGTATTTATAAGTGCATCACGTAATTCACATGGTAACATTGTTATAAATGAAATTATGCAACTGATTATTAATGAAAAACAAATCACCCTCTAAACTCAGAGCAGCAGAAAGCATTCGTTTCACTCCTGACTGAGATCTGGGCAGGGCTCAGCGGAAACAGCCCTTGTCTGCTCCAGGAGGCATCGGCCGAGACGGCTCACCTGGGGTTGGGGACCGACTTTCAAGATGGCACACCCACGAGGACGGTGAGGTGGTGGTACGCACTCCTCTGCTAGGCCCCGGCCCAGGCAACTCGGGCTTCCTCACAGCGTGGGGACCAGGCTCTGAGGACAAGCGTCCTGAGAAGATGAGGGGAAAACTGCCAGGTCCTCAGCCTCCGCATGCCAGCCAGCAGTGTTCACCCAGCTGCCCAGGGCCCAGATCCACGGGGATCGGCACAGACCCCTTCGGCTCAGCGGGGCTGTTGAATAACCTTGGGCTAACACTTCACAACTTCCACAGCATTTTAAACAGCTCAATAAATTTGAGCCATTACCATCAGGAGCGAAGACAGAAGCCAACCCAGCTGAGCTCGGCACCCCACCCTCAGCTGCAGAACAGCTGGGGGCTCAGGTAGGCGGCGCCCGTTAAAGAATACTGCGGGAGGTGACTGTAAATTCACCTACACACTAATCTCTTCTTCCTGCTTTTACGTATGGAGTTTTGTGTCAGATTTATCTTGAAGACAGACTTCCCCAGGATAGCCCTGCCCCACCCCACCCCACCCCCTAAAAAAACCCATTTTGAAAATGACTATAGAGTCCACAGTATCTACTGTATTTGGAACATTGGTTGGGTTAGATCCAGATACAGGGGAAGTGAGGTTAGCAATACCCATTCAGCTCTTTCTGCTGAGTGCAGGGGGTGTGAGAAGCAGAACTGAAGTTTTGGAAGAGTCCTCTGCAAGCCAGGTGCTTCCTGGGAGCCTGTGGGGGGAGGCAGGTGGTAAGAGGTGGCAACGCTCCCCAGGAAAACAAGAGGTGAAGGGAAGGATCCTCAGTTTTGCTCCTTTGGCAAAAAGGCAGAAAGCTTCATCTCATAACGATCATCTGGCCCCAGTTCCTTAAAATCCAGTGCAAAGCTTTCTCAGGCTTGGCCAGTAAGGGTGCTGGGATGGATTGTTGATGGCTGCTGTGGGTGTGGGTGTGGATGGAGAGCTGGATTTGCCCCATATTTGCCATCCCTTGACCCGATTACTGTTTCTTTTTAAATGTTGCTCTCATCCGACATTTTATCTCCTCTCCAATATCTCTTCACCAAACATAAACTCGTTTGTGGTTTTAGCTACACGGGTTCTCTTTTCTTGGGTAGTTTTATTCTCAGCCTTTTCTATTTGCAGTCTTGTGTCATCGTGTTTCTTTCTCCTCATGCGGCATCTGGGGGAGGTCTGTGTGCGTCGCTGGATGGGAACCAGGAAGGCCAAATGATGGCCGAAGGACAATGGGAGGGCAGACCTACAGAACCCCTCCCCTGAGAGTCTAGGAGGGCTGGCTCCCACACGCCCTGGCCGCTTAGGGGCTGCTGGCTGGGTTGGGGAGGGTGGGGTGTGAACAGCGCTATCCCTGCTCCTCTGCTGGTAGAGGAAGTACAGTCAACCCTTGGTATCTGTGGGGGACTGTTTCCAGGAGCCTCCGTAGATACCAAAATCCACCGATGCTCAAGTCCCTTATATCCAATTGTGTAATACAGTCGGCCCTCCATATCCATGGGTTCCACATCCAGGACTCAGTATTTGCAGTTGGGTGAACCCACGGTTGGTGCAGAACCCGCAGGTGTTGAGGGCCAACCGTAATGTAGAGAAGCCGGCAGGGCTCCTGGGGCAGAGGCCAGGGTCCAAGTACCCGCTGTACCTCTGCCGGGGTCTGGAGCCCCGAACAAGCCCATTGCACTTTCTGAGAGCAGCTGTTTCCACTTGTAACAGTCACCCAGTCCAGAGGCCGATTTTAGAAGTAGGAGACACACGTTGTAAAGCTTATTTATCTTAACATTCCCCAAACGACTTAAGTAATACTAAATAAAATCATTTATGCATAGTGACAAATTTTAGAAAAGAACACATAGAAATTTCGATGCTTAAAAACACTGGTTAATGCCGTCGCTTGGAGAAGCATCCCGCAGACAGCTCATCCTGGAGGGCTCATTTGGATTCCATACTCACCAAAACCTGACATTCCAGGAGAGGACCAGGAATAAGTTTCTCCTTAAATTCAGGGCCCTGCCCATCCTTTACTAACCCAACATTAGAAAACATTCTTTTATTATTTCCAAATTCCTTCATTTTTATGTTTAGATATTTAATTAGCCTGGAATTTATTTTTACGTGTGGTACGACTTAGAAGTAAATCCAAGCTGCTTTATTCACCCTTCAAAACAACAAATCTAGAGGAGCTCCTATCACTATGCCCACTCACAGGTGAGCACGTGGAAGTTCAGACAGGAGGTACCGGGCAGCCGCAACACTGATGCTCTCGGCCGAACCTGTGTGATTCTGAAGCTCATGCTGTTAATCCTAGCTATGTTTTAAAACTGCACAGAGGAAAGACTGGAAGTAAATAAGAGGCAGTGTCAAGGCTGCTTAAGTGGTGGAGTGAGGGGTGACACTCTGTACTTCTGATATCCCCAAATTTCCAGAATGGATAAGTTTACTTTTATAAACAGAAAAAAATCTAAGTGACGGTGAGCAGTGAGCCTTAAAAGAAACAGAACGTTACAACCGTTCAGGCCTTAGAAACAAACATGCTCAACCCTCTCTTTGTAAAGATGGGGACGCTAATGCCCGGAGAGGCTCCATGACTTGCCGACAACATAGGAACCGTTAGCAGACACAGTGAAGCCCCAGGGCCAGCGCTCGCCATGCAGAGTTGAGGGTGGCAGGAATCTCCTCGCATCTGCAAGCAAAACTGCAGCGCCACTCAGGAAAACACAAGATGCGACCCATGAATCGTGACAAATCCACTTAAAAGGGGTTCATACAGTCTCAGCAACTTGCCAAGCGCTCAGTTTCCATTATTTTCTAATATGCGAATTATACAATTATGATGCTGACAAATACTCGAACTTTGAGAACGAAAAGCAGGGTCCCTGAGGCCCCTCCTGGCGGCTCTGAGAACAACGGCTCTGGGGCTGCCCGAGGCGACTGGAGGGGAGGCGCGCAGGTGACACATCTGGAGGGCTTATATTTCAGGCCCTTGGTCCTAGTTTCCCTCATACTAACCTACTGTCCACAAATATAAAAAAAATGATGAATGCATTCAGATTATCTGTATATCAATACATCTGGATTATCCCGGCTGAAAGTGACAGAAAACCCAGCACTCTGGCTCAACCCGGAGGGATCATCCCTGATGTGCACAACTCAACAGTCTAAGGTGCTGGCGCCAGACTCACCAGACACCGGACCCCAGAGCTGAGGCCCGGACCCAGCCTCCCCCTTGGCTCTGACGGAGCCCTTCACATTTGCACTTCTCCTGAGTTGCTGTGTATCCGCAGGTGGTTCTCACGGCTGGGGCTGGGGCACAGTGAGGAGTAAAGGCAGGGACAGACTCACTTCCTGCCCTCCTGTAGCACTACTCCAACGGCAGCAAGTTAACGACAGAAACATCAACCAAAACTGAACAAGAACATGCCAAAGACAGGAGGCATTCTGGAAAAAACGGGAAAAGCAACCGGAACGGAGCAAGGAGCTCAGATATCAGGTCGCTACTCTGGACTGGGCGGTCAGTCAGCCTGGGATGGCCAAGCTGAACACAAGTGACAAAACGAAACCAGCCAAGGGACAGGGGTTGGGCAGAGAAAGAGTGAGCCCAGAGGTCCTACGGCCTGGACTGCCCTGCGTTAAGATATTCTACCCCCTGGTTTTGCTCATGTCAATGTGGAGTCTGCATTTAACCGAGCAAATCTAAGGATCAATTCTCTTTCCAAAGTCTCCACCGCATTTTCACTGTAAAACCAATGAGAAAATGCTTTTTCAAAGGGAGACTGAGAGCCTTGAGAACCTTATCTTCAAAGTGCAGGCAAGGCCTGCCCCTTGAGGCATGATAATGGGTTTAAAACATGCTCAGTAAGACCCTCTGGTGGAAAAATTAAAATGTCCCGTGCAGATACATTTGAAAAAAAAAATGAAATCTCCACCTAAATGCTTATCTTGGCTTTTCACCCAGGATCACTGCAAAAGCACTTCCGTTTAGAAAGCACAGTTCAGCCAAAATCCCGCTTGATTTTCAGGAACAGAGAAATGGAGGGAAAGAAAACATACGGAAAACATAACGACAGTGGACAAATGAGTGTGTGAGCATCTGTCTGGCCTCGTCTGTGACGTAGGCTGGGACAACTCATTGACAGCCAGGATTTCCTAGACACAGAGCTCCCTGCTGTTCAGGGGCAGCTGGCCGAGAGCAGAGGGTGTTCACCCCGGGGGAGGAGCCTGGCTGGAAAGGTAAGGAGGGGACAGAGGTGAGACCACACAGCCGAGGGTCCACGTCAGATTGGCCTCCATCTCCGACACCAGGACTGAGGTGTGACAAGCAGTCTGTACCCAGGGGACTGAACCACCTGGCTTCTGCGAGCTGAGCGCATCTTTTCCCTTCTAGCAGTGCCAGGCCAAGGAGCCAGGAACACAAGGATGTCTTCTGGTTCTGAGCCGCCATGCCTCTGCAGCTGGTCCTCTGTCCACCTTCTCTTAATCCCCCACACCTCTCAAGTTCAAAACACAGACTCCCCTAAATTGCAGTCAGCATTTACTCCAACTTGTTTATTGCCCACTCAGTCCCCTAAACCAAGACACTAGCAGGGCTGAGACATCCAGCAGGCTGAAGGACCAGGATAAGCCAAAGCCTGAGCACGGGCCTTTCTGCCTTCAGAGGATGGGAAGTATATTACGGCTGACTTCCCTGCTCCTCAGGAGATACCAGGCAGCAACTGAAGCTCTGACTGCCTGGAGAGGACTGAACTCAAAGCAGCTCGTGCAGCAAAGCTCCACCACATCCCGCTGTGCCGGGCTCTGAAGCTCGCCGGGGGCTGGAGCGGGATGTTGTCACGGGTCAGGGTGCGGCTCTCCAGCGCGGCCGCCCGCCGGGCCACTGGCCCCCTGATGCCTGGCCAGCGCCACCCTCGCTGTGTTGGTGCCCAGACAGAAGCCCTGCAAGCGGGAGATGGCCTGCCAGGCCTTGGCCGGGTCCCGGTAGTGGAGGAAGGCCCTGCGCTGCGGCCCCTGCCAAGTGAGCCGTGAGGGCGCCGCGCCCCGTGCGCTGAGGGCTCGCTTCAGCTCACTCACCCGGGCGTCCCGGGGGAGGTTCCCAACGTAAACAGTGCTGGAAGGCACATCGTCCCCCTGCAAGGAGCCCGATTCCAGCGAGGGCAGCTCCCGCGGGCTTCTGACGGTGCTCAGGGCGGCCCGGGCACCCGGCAGGCTCCGGTGTTTGTCCCGAAGGGTGACGTCCTTCCCGGCCTGCTCCTCTCGGCAGTGCAGGCTTCTGAGGACTGGCATTTTCCCCATCATCTCACAGCTGATCTGAAAAAGCAAGGCAGTTCCAGCTATTCTTGAGGTGTCCAAAAGGGACCATGACTTGGTGACAAGGGAGGAGAAAGCAGTCACTCAGGGGCCTCTGCCCCACATGCTCGTGGAAGCCTCCGTCCACTCAGGCCAGCCATCTCCGTCTGCCACTCTGCCTCTGCCAGACAGGCCGTGGCCGCTGCAGGAACCAGACGGCTTTTCTCCATCTTCCTGGGGGCCCAGAGGGCAGCCAGCCACGGCTTCCTGCGCAGAAGGCGAAGAGCTAGGGGCTTCCCCGGCGGCCCAGTGGTTGGGACTTGGCCTTCCAAGGCAGGGGGTGTGGATGTGACATGCCTCACCGCCAAAAAACCAAAACATAAAAGAGAAGCAATACCGCAACAAATGCAATGAAGACTTTAAGTTCACATCAAAAAAAAAGTCTTAAAAGAAAAAGAAGGGGAGGAGCTAAGATCACTGGTATGAGGGTTACAGGGTCACAGATGGCAACCGCCCTGGGGACCCCAGGATAATGGGGCGGTTTCTGCTTCCACACCCGTCTCCTCCCCAACCTACGCCTTTGGGTGGGATGAGGTCTTTAATGGGGCCGTGGGGATCTCCTTCTCAGCCTCCCCCCACCCCTCACCTCGCACCCCTTAATTAAGGGCCAAACCCATCCAGACCTCCGGGAAAAAGCACAGACAAGGCGAATGTGAAACAGAATGCTACATGGAGAACACTTTCTAGCAAAGGGTGATCAGGCTACAAAATAACGCATCCCACACACAATGTTTCATCTCAAAGAGAAAGACTTTTACACAAAAGACACTTTTGGCTTTTTGGTCAAATTGATCAGCAAGTGTTTCCTGAGCACCCACGGCAATGGCGGTGACAGAAGCGCCCCAACACTCGAGGTGAAGCCTGAACAGGACACCCACGGCTCCGTCCTGTGGGGCAGGGGCACTGGGGGCTGAGCCTGGGGCAGAAGTGCTTCACGTCTCTTAAGGAATCCCAAGGCAGAAATGAAACAGAAAGCCATGCTTAGTTCTTTTCAATAATTCATTCTTTAGAGATGCTTTCTGTCTTCTGTTTGGGGCACAAAGCATGTAAATGATCAGTCACCAAGGGAATTCCCCGGCAGTCCAGTGGTTAGGACTCCATGATTTCACCGCTGAGGGCATGGGTTCAATCCCTGGTTGGGGAACTAAGATCCCACACAGCTGTGCAGCGTGGCCGGAAAAAAAAAAAAAATCAGTCACCAAGAGGCAAGCAATGGTCCAAACACGGGCTTCCCACAGATGTGGGTACATCAGAACACAGATCAGCACACAAGGTGGACAGCTATAACTTTTCTCCAAAAATAGTTCAACTAGCCCCAGTGCTCTCAATCCTATGTAACTTAGGGCAATGGTTCTTATCCTTGTCGGGGTGTCAGGGACCCTGGAGAGAAGCTGGGGTTCCCTCCCAAGAAGGGCTCCACCACAATTCTCTGTACAATTTCCCAGCACCTGTTCCCGGACCTACAAACCGCAAGAGGCACACAGGTCCCAGGTTGAGAAGCAATAGATTAGAATAAGAGTTAAAGAAACACAAACACCTAAGCACGGCAAGTATCTTCTCACAAACCTACAGGCTGCTAACCCTCACCAAGTTCGTCCCGGTCCTCTCTCCCAGTGCTATGCACGTGATGCTCTCCACCGCAGCAAAGCCTTGCCTGGGGGTCAGAGCTCTCCCCAGCCAGATGCTGCCCTTGTCCCCGGCACAGCCAAGTCAGGAGCCTTGCGGGGGCACCCGACCACTCGGGTCTTCAGAACAGAGCACACTCTTAGCGCAAAGAAAAACTCCCTCCTTCTCACGCTTCCCATTGTTCAGATACAAAGAGAGAAACAAAAACCACGTCTATGCCTCGGAGACACCCACAAGATGGAGCCACTCTTCCTGATCAAAGGGAGTCTTCATCCACTTGACCCTCTGCCGTCTCCTGAACTGGCTCATCTGAAGGTGGTTAAAGTCACAGAGCAGTCCTCCAGAGCCTCCAGTTCCCAGAGAATCCCAAAGACAACGCGAGCCTGGCCAACCCAACTCCCTGCCACGTCCCTCTCCTGCCTTCTGAAGGAGTTCACATTCTTGCCTTCTTTCAAAGTACCTAGGAGCAAACTTAAACTGGTCATAATTAGATTCTTGGGGATTTCTTAAGTTACTGGATCTAGCATTGAGAAAGAATGATCAAATTTAAAACTGTAATTACAATCAGAGAAAAAGTGTGACTATGTCCTTGTATGAGAGAACTAAACGTTACCCCAGTCCAAGCACCAGCAGCGGGAGCCACCAGGCCACACCTCCTGGGAAACACCGTGCATCCGCTGGGCCCACTGTGGCCAGATGAGCACCCCTAAAGTGCCCAGTGGACCCACAGGGCTGCCTCAGGCAGAGGTGCGTGTTCTCATGAAGCCTGACCCCACGGGGTGAGGCTCCACGCTCAGGCAGCAGACATCCACCCTAAAACGTGTGTGAAGCAAACACGCATCCTTCTGTGCACGTCCCCGGGAGCTACCTGATCCCAAGCTGGCGCACATACAAACTGCAGTCAGCTGCAGGATAAGGAAAGCCTTCCAGCACACACTGTGAACTGAGTCCACAGCACCGCCACGCTGGCAAACACCAAGGGATCTTTGGAAACAGAAACACAGAAATGCGAGGCTTTCACGTAAAACTGCTCGTCCTGAGAGCGGTATGTTCTTTGGAACAACAAAGCCCAGTGTCAGCTCCCTCTCCACGCCACTCCCACCCCGTGAGCTCTAAAGGACACACCTCCCTGACCGTGAGGGGGCCTCTGCCACTTTCCCAGCCATTTGCCACCTATGTGCTCCTCATGGGATGGTGTAGGTTGATGGTGGCCCTACAGCCGACAGGCTTCTGAGAGCCGAGTGGACGGGCTGGACACCCACACGGGACCCACACTGCGGCTATTTTTCCTGGCTGGCAATTAGGAACATTTGTTAGGTTTTGTCTATTTGCCATGTGAAATGAAAGATTTTGCTTGTTAATCAAGCAAAAAAATGTATGCCCTTCTGTAACGAATCATACCATTTAAAAAGCAAGTGTAAAGCAAAATTGATTTTTTCTGTACGCTACGATCCCTTTTTGCTGAAGCATGCAGATGGCAGTCATTTATAACTATATGTTCCCTTTAGAGATTAAATTAAACCTGTCCCCTAGAAATGCTCGCTAAGTCCAATACAATCAGAAATCTGACTCTCGAGGCATCTGCTGCCAACCCAAGAAGAAGACACTTGGCTCTAACCTCCCTCCGCCACACGCCGGGGTTACACTCTGGGATAAATTGCTTTTCTTTCTGGTTCTCACTTCGCTTGACCAGAAGATAAGGTGCTTGGGAGGGATGATCTCATTCTAGAACGCCAGGACGTGCTGGAGCAGCTGCTGGCAAAGTTAAACAGAAACACTAGAAGTATTTCTAATGAGAACTACAACTTCCATAAAAATCACGTTAGTCTCTTGCAAGACTTAGAAGGTGGGTCGAGGAGACCCACTGTCCGAAGTGACTGGAGCTGGAAACAGAGTCCATATCAGATCAGTCTATTGGCTGGGGCAGTACTCACATTTCTTGAGAAGCTGGAGCAAAGGCTGGAAAATCAAATGCTGTACAGTCTTTGGGTATTAAGAATGAGTTAAAAAAAAAAAACATCACATTTGGTACCTATTTCAAAACACTGCATCTGGGAGGGCTACAGTGTTTAGAAGAAAAAGGGGATTCCAGATATTCCAATGATAAAGACAAGAGGCAAATTCCTCGAGTCTGATCCCTACATGACGAGTCTCTGGGTAGAGCATCACAGAAGGATTTACCAGTATGTGCCAAACAAAGAGCCAACCTGAAACAGCACTATAACCCAGCACTGAACTGCCCCCACCACCTCCTCAAATCTTCAGTGCAGGGCTTCCCTGGTGGCGCAGTGGTTGAGAGTCTGCCTGCCGATGCAGGGGACGCGGGTTCGTGCCCCGGTCCGGGAAGATCCCACACACCGCGGAGCGGCTGGGCCCCGTGAGCCATGGCCACTGAGCCTGCGCGTCCGGAGCCTGCGCGTCCGGAGCCTGTGCTCCGCGACGGGAGAGGCCACAACAGTGAGAGGCCCGCGTACCGCAAAAACAAACAAACAAAAATCTTCAGTGGGATTAGGGACTTTGTCCCCAAAGTCAATGAAAACGCGCTCTGGCTGCACACAGAGCAAGGCCAAGACAGAAACCCCAGGGGCTGGAGAGAGTCCTTGCCTTCACAGGACCCATCGCTCTGCATTGCAGAACTGAGAACACAGGACCCAAAGTAAGAAATGGCCTTTTACAAGCTAGGGATTCTTGCCAAGGCCTCACTAACGATTAGCATCCTTCGGGAAGAGGATGAATAAGCCGACATCCCGATGAGCAGGCTGAGATGTCTCAGGAAGCTGTGGTTGAATTTGGTTTCCTTTCATCTCAGAGGGATTATACTCATCTAACACAACTGATAACCTAATTTGTTGCTTTCTTTGTATTTTTCTTATTAAAATCTGCAGACTGTAACCACAGCTATTCTCCAAGGCAACCAACTCTCTCTCCCCGGAGAGGCCCCCAGAATCCTCCCAGCCTGCGCTGCAGCTGGCCCTCAGCTATGAAGTGCTGGCCCCAGGGCACCTGCAGCCTCCCTGTGGCCGCCCCTGTGATGTATCCTCCCCAGACCGCGTGCTCACCTCTGAGCACAGCCACCTCGCTCCCACAGCCTGTATGCCAGTCGCCATTCAAAGGGAGGCTGTGGGCCTGAATTCTGGGGAAGCCCAAGTTCTAACTGTCCCGAGGGACTCTTTCATAGTCATGAAGGATGCTGCGCCTTCTCCCCGGTGCTCAGGGTGCACGTGGACGGTCCCACACCCCATCTCAGGGTCTCATGTGCTCCCCTCTGCTCTCCTCAGGGGCTCTCCTGGCAGGAGCACAGGCATCTGTGGGGAAGCCCTCAGGGTGCGGTGAGAGCACAGGGCTCATCCTCGGAGGTGGATGCTGCTGACTCCCACGCCCCCTGGAAGGAGGCCTTCCAGCTCTGGATGACTCAGGTTTAAGGAATGTGAAACAGGGACAAACATGCTAAGCTGACCAGGAGTTTCAGTGCAAACAGAGCACAACTTCTCCGGTTTTCTCAGTAATTCTGGCTATTTACCAGCAGATGGCATCAAAACCCACAGGTTGGCTTCTGGGGTCAAACTCCAATTGCAGACCCCTCTGCGATCCATGCCACTGCCTGTTCTGGAGATGCAAGTCACCACGGCATCAGCTTATGAAGGCTTCGGGTACTGCCTCCTAGCCAATTCGGCTCTGCATGGAGATGCAGACGGCAGTAAGAAAATCTGGGTTTGCAAAAGGCAGGCTGATGATCAGGACCATGCAGAGCTGGGACGGCAGAAGGCAGCTCTTAGAAGTGAAAGCCAGCGTGCAAACAGACTCATGGCATCAGCTCTCCTAGTTGAGTTGGTCACTTCCCGCTGCCTAGAGCTGGTGTCGTGTAGAGACCTTGAACCCTGCCTGCTCGTCAGAACCAGCAGGTTTGCAAAGTAGATTCTCCAGCCCACGCTTGGAGACTGTGATTCAGAAGCAGAAATGTTCAGAAACTCATGGGGGACTCTAACGCACAGCCATGCAGGCCTGGGGACAGCTGCCATGCCAGACAGAGAACGCAGGGAAAGAGGAGGTGCCTATAAGCCACGGGCCTCCTGCACACCACGGTGACCCACCTTGGGCCACACGATTCCTGTTGGCTTGGGGCGCTCACACCCCGTGGTGATGGCTCGAGTCGGAGTGAGAATATAGTCCACGGTGAGGTCGTGATCCTCAAGGAGTGTTTCAGGTATGTCGACAACCTGGTCAAACAGAAGCGGGTGAAGGAGCTGACAGGGATACGGCCCCAGCTGTGTTGGCTGCACCGCTGGGTGGAAGTATGATGTCCCCCAAACCCATCGTGGGCAAGGCCGAGCTGCCGCACCAAGCGAATCCAGCCTGGCTGAGCGACGCCATGCCCGACACGGCATGGAGTGAAGGTGGAGACCCTGCTGGCCTGTTCCCAGGAAGCACCTGGCAGTCGTGGACGATGGTGACCACTGGCGTCCCCTGGCTGACCGCTCCCATCGACACCATCATGGCGTATTCAAGGTCGGCATAGCCTTCTCCCTTCCCAATTCTCCAGCCTAAGAACAACGCAGAGAATCAATGTCTCTGTGGGGTCTGGGGAACCACGCAGGATTACGTTTCTCATCGTGGACAGAGGAGTTACAGAGGAAGAGCCACACGCAGCGGTTCACACACAGTGAAGTGAGCTTGGAGCCTTTTCAACACAGACCTCTCCTTTACCAAGGAAACTGCGCTTGCATTTATGGGAGCTTTACGTCTACAAGTAGTGAAACAGTAGTTTTTAAAAACACTAAGGACAAATTCCTACTAAAGGCAAATCTTTTTCATCATGGAGCGAAAGCACGAAGTCTAAACCAGGGACGTGGCTGTGAGACAGCACAGCCTTGCCTTGTAAAAGCACTACGGACGCACCCAGCGCAGCCCCACAGCTTGGCAGGAGGCGGTTTAAACAGCGCTAGCGCTAGTTTGCAAATTCACAAATGCGGCACAAGAGAGGATTCATCCTCTGAGGCTGCAGGACAAGCTAAGCAGGAGAAAAGAACGCAGGACAGCAGGCAGGGGACGTTAGCACGCTGCTAGCTCCCCGCCGAGTCCAGCTACTCTGCTCGGCAGGACGCCCAGGCCAGCCGGGAGCTCTGACTTCTCTGTAGCGTCACCATCGTCAGCAAGCGTGTAAGCGCCATCACTCACGCGTCCTGTAAGATTCAGACCTGACTGAGCTACTTTTACAGTGAAGAGCCTTCAACCGTGCACAGAATTCAACAGCAGAACAGCAAAGGGTACAAAGAGCCCAGAGACAGACGGGCGGACGCACAGGGAACACAGGAGAAACGTTCAAGCTCACCCAAATCAGATGCAAATGAAGAGGCAGCTCAAACACCACTGTTCACTACCAGATGCAAAAACCGAGGTGGGATAATTCTAGTTACTAACAGAAGAGGGAGAGAGGCACGCAGAGGGGGCGGGGATGTGAGGTGGGCACACTTTCTGGTGGGATAATTCTAGTTACTAACAGAAGAGGGAGAGAGGCACGCAGAAGGGGCGGGGATGTGAGGTGGGCACACTTTCTGGCGGGTAATTTGGCAACATCCATCAGGACTTAAAAACCCTTTGGTCTGGCAATTCCTCTCCTAGGAATCACCCCACAGATGGTCCTCAAAGGTACCCCTAGAGCATACGATAAGACGACACCTCATTCTGGCGCTATTTGCAAGGGAAAGACCGAAACCAACACTGGAGGCAACTTAGACGCCTATCAGCCAGGGCCGATGAACAGGAGGAGGCTGAGCTCTGTGCTGACGGGCAGAGCCCTTGGAGACACAGACGCAGCAGCAGCAGGGCACAGCGCACTGTCAGCGCGGAAACAGAACCAGGATGAACGTGCAGCCCACACACACAACACTCGAGATGCCCGTGTCTCACACCACACAAGCTGACACTTCTGTGGGCATCAGGGGAGAGGCAGACGGAAAGTGGCCAGGCCACGCTTTCTGTGCTATCCACCTTTTTTAAACACATGCATGGTGATTTTGTTGTTTTAATTAGGGGGTTATCTAAACAGTGACAGTTACAAAACATTGTTTTCTTTTTCATACATCCTGAATTTAAAAAGAAAACTCCTGACGTCCTTTTAAAAGAAGAAATCTTTGCAAACTTCCCATTGCCGAAAGAGTACAGCCCAGTTCCCGGCATCTGGCCTCCGGTCTCTGGAAGGACAGCCCCAGACACTAGAGGGCCGTGCTACGTGACCACGGCACTCCCTCTCCCCGTCCTGCCCCGCCTGCCTCGAACACACCTGGCACGCAGGAGCCAACCCTGAGGCCTCTTCTGAGGTCACCCTGCTCCAAGCTGGCGAGTCCCTCCTCTGAGCCCGCCTACGTCCACCCCGGCTTCTGTTTCCAGCACTGAGCACGTCGTATTGTAGCTCAGCTCTCATGTCTGCTCCGCCCACCCACCGAGGACCCACCGCAGAGTCCACTCAGTGCCGGCCTGGCATGTGGCACACAGTGGGCACACGTGTGCTCACGTGTACCCGGTGGGATAATTCTAGTTACTAACAGAAGAGGGAGAGAGGCACGCAGAGGGGGCGGGGATGTGAGGTGGGCACACTTTCTGGTGGGATAATTCTAGTTACTAACAGAAGAGGGAGAGAGGCACGCAGAAGGGGCGGGGATGTGAGGTGGGCACACTTTCTGGCGGGTAATTTGGCAACATCCATCAGGACTTAAAAACCCTTTGGTCTGGCAATTCCTCTCCTAGGAATCACCCCACAGATGGTCCTCAAAGGTACCCCTAGAGCATACGATAAGACGACACCTCATTCTGGCGCTATTTGCAAGGGAAAGACCGAAACCAACACTGGAGGCAACTTAGACGCCTATCAGCCAGGGCCGATGAACAGGAGGAGGCTGAGCTCTGTGCTGACGGGCAGAGCCCTTGGAGACACAGACGCAGCAGCAGCAGGGCACAGCGCACTGTCAGCGCGGAAACAGAACCAGGATGAACGTGCAGCCCACACACACAACACTCGAGATGCCCGTGTCTCACACCACACAAGCTGACACTTCTGTGGGCATCAGGGGAGAGGCAGACGGAAAGTGGCCAGGCCACGCTTTCTGTGCTATCCACCTTTTTTAAACACATGCATGGTGATTTTGTTGTTTTAATTAGGGGGTTATCTAAACAGTGACAGTTACAAAACATTGTTTTCTTTTTCATACATCCTGAATTTAAAAAGAAAACTCCTGACGTCCTTTTAAAAGAAGAAATCTTTGCAAACTTCCCATTGCCGAAAGAGTACAGCCCAGTTCCCGGCATCTGGCCTCCGGTCTCTGGAAGGACAGCCCCAGACACTAGAGGGCCGTGCTACGTGACCACGGCACTCCCTCTCCCCGTCCTGCCCCGCCTGCCTCGAACACACCTGGCACGCAGGAGCCAACCCTGAGGCCTCTTCTGAGGTCACCCTGCTCCAAGCTGGCGAGTCCCTCCTCTGAGCCCGCCTACGTCCACCCCGGCTTCTGTTTCCAGCACTGAGCACGTCGTATTGTAGCTCAGCTCTCATGTCTGCTCCGCCCACCCACCGAGGACCCACCGCAGAGTCCACTCAGTGCCGGCCTGGCATGTGGCACACAGTGGGCACACGTGTGCTCACGTGTACCCGTCCCTGAGGACACAGGTAAAGCATCTATCTGTAACTGTGAGTACAAGGAAAACGAGGAATAAAGACCTGTAACATGTCACTCCTAAGCACCGCACACAGTAGCTCAGAGCAGGAGCTGGGAAAAGAGTAAGTTTAAGGCGATGCTATTAAAGGCCAGCATTTAAAACACGACGCTCAGGGTTCAGAACGAACGATTTGGAGCACTGCTCGCCAACCGTTTATTCGGAACCTCTACTGAAGGAAGAACTTGGCTTTGGCCGACTAACTTCCAAAGGGAGATCTGAGGATGAGCACCTCAGGACATCCTCCTGGCGGGAAGGGAGGAGAGAGAAGGCTTTCCTAGTGAGGGTGGGGGCCCCAATCACCGCACACAAGCGCAGCTCTGCAGTGTGCTCATCCTGCCGCAGGGTCAGCAGCTCGCTTCCAACAGCACGCAGCTGGGCCTGGGGCAGGGCAGAGAGCAAGAGGCCCTAGGGAACCCCAGGGACGAGTCCTGAGGGCGGCTCAGCCCAGGGCAGAGGCTGGCATAGTGACCCACCCTGTCCCTGCTCACAGGCTTGCGGGGTGAAGCTCCAGGCCTCAGAGGCAGGCTCAGGACATCCCGCACTGCCCAGGAGGCTGCTGCTTCACAACAAAAAAGAGCTTCGGAACCCAACGTCTCTCCACTTCCTGGAGGCTCTCCAGAGACAACTATTTACCGACGCGCTCCAGTAACCTCAGAACAGAGGGGAAACCTTTCACCACCTGCAGAGAGATTATCTCACTGTATTTTTCCTGTTATGAAAAGTGAAAATGCTGTAAAGGTGTTGAGTGGGGCTGAGAGTGGGAGGGGCCGAGTTAATTCTTCAAAATGAGCGATAGATGCAGTGGTTATGCAGGCCAGGCACGCGCCCAGAAAGCTGAAATCACTCACCATCAACGTCTGAAAGGCGACCGGAGCGCTGGGGGAACAGCAGGCTGCAGGGCAAGTGGTCACATCCGAGAGTTTCTGTTCTTAATCTTACCTTTTTCAGAAACAGCCACGGACCCCACCACCACTAAGTCCACAAGGACCCTGGAATCCAAGCCCACGGGAGTGCTGTAGTTCCTCACGCCCTGCGGACAGACACGCGGCCTGAAAGCTCCCTGGCGGAGAGGCCACCCGTCTCATAACCCACGGGGAGAGGCACTCAGGGTCTGAACAGCCTCCCGAGGGAAGCAAGCACGTGCACCATCCCACAGCAAACACGCAGCATCATGGAAGCAGCAGCTCAGGAAAACCATGGATCAGAACCATTTTAAGACAATTCCCCACAATTCTGCCCCAGGAAAGACATCAGGAGGAGCTGATAGCACAATGACTAGGATATTCATTTCATAATATTCAACAAATCATTTTCCTCCAAGAGGCAGGAGAGCCCAGTGATTAGAATACAGGCTCGGGAGTCACAAGGAACTGGGTCCAGATCCCTCTCCTCTGTGGCCTCAACAGGAGGAAACTCTCTGAGCTTCAGTCTCTTCCTCTGTAAGACAGGGATACCAGCCCTGCCTCGTCTGACATGTTGGAATGAAATGACAGAGCGCAGGTAAAGCGTCTAGCATGTAAGACATGGCCATTAAGCGTGTGTGACATATTAGTTCACTGTGAAACACTGGAGGCCTCGCTCTGCGTGAACAGCTGATCACTCCTAACATATTAATTATTCAACCAAAAAGCACCCAAAGCACACCCACTTATGCTGACTAATGGAGGCCTGTGTGCAAAGCACAGGGAGGCTCCTGTGGCCATGATTCTGATAATGAGTGACAGGGGGATTTCGGAAACCAGAGGAGGATGCTGCACGGCCCAGTACCCGGCAGCAGTGGTCGCTGGATGTGGTACGGTGCCCTGTCAACAAGCACATGACAAGTCCCTATAGGATCGGTACCATGATTGGGGCCTCCCAACCATCAAACCGCAGTCATCGGCCCGCAGTGCCCCCACTGCAGGAAAGCGTGTCTTTCGTTAAGCTCACAGCGGCCACGCAGGCAGGTCTCTTGCCCACGGCCCATGTCCTCAAGCCTGTTTCAGTGCGCTTGGTGCCTGGCAGCCCTGGGGAGCACGCACCTGCCTGGGGTTTTCTGTGTTGTGACCTGTCAGGCCCCCTCTTCTCTCGGGGGCTCAGCCTCACCTGCTCAGTCTGACCAGACACAGCGTGAGCAACCAGGAGTCACCCTGACTCTCCAAGATCCTGTTCTATTCAACCAAGAGTCACCGGATGGGCAGAGGGACTTATGAGGCAGTTAACACACCTTTCTGTCTGCCCCCTGGGGTGGTTACCAGAACACACCTGAGTCAAAGAGTAAATACAAAGACCACGATGGCACACACAGGTGGCTGGGGTGTGGCAGTGGCAGGGGGCTGAGGGACAAACTCAGAGTCTTATCTGCCAAGAAGTAAGGCTACATCACAGTCTCCTACAGTGATATGCACGGTGGCGGCATTTCACCACTAAGCTTTGGCAACCTAAATAATAATCGTACTAAATTTGCATCTGCGTTAGACGTGGCTTTAAGAGTCTCTCTCTCTCCTTTGCCATTTTTCCTCTGCCACAAAGAAAACAAAAATCTTTGGTTTTTTTCTACCTGCGCTCTGTCCTTCTGAGGTTCATGGCCCTGGATCTCTGATTTCCATCTGGTATCGCATGATATAACAGAGCCCAAACACAGTTCAATCTGTATGCAAGCTCAGTTGTGAGAGCTGGTCTGGCTTTACCCTGGCCGGGACCAGCCAGTGCCGGCACTTCACAGGGCCTCCTGGCAACGAGCGCCATGTCGGTCACCCTTCGGAGGGGAGTGGGATGCTGTTAAGGGTGACACAGACCACTACACCAGCACCACGGCCATGTCTGACCTGGACCTCAATACGTGGAAAGAGGCTGCTCTTACTGTCCGGAACCTACCAATTATAACAGATCACATTCCCTGCCAGCTCGCGGAAGTATGGGCTCAGATCTGTGGCCACAACCGCCAACTGCAAAGGATCACGGGGTGGGCACTTTGAACATTGACCAGAACCAGGGTTATCTCTTATTTTTCTGCATTTATTTTCCCTTTGTTCTTTTTCCTACATGTATTTTATTATCTTACTTTATTATATATATTTTTGTATGCCACATCAAATTCTATTTTTGCAATAAGACAGGTTATCAATAAATAACGATAAAGCATTCACTTTTTATACACTAGACTTGAGTGGAAAATCCCTTTTTAAAAGGAATATCTTGATGCCCTATTTCTTCTTCCCACCGGATTAGGAAGCAAATGACCTGGGGTCAACTCTAGAACTCTGAAGAGTCACCAGATTCTATTTCTTCATCTCTAAAATACTAGACAAATTCCATTATAAGGCAGTCTAATGTGACGTTTACACACTGGTTTTATGGCATCGTGAGGTAGTGAAGAAAATCATACTGCTAAATCACTAAAGCCATTATTACTTTAGCACTTGCTGAGGCAATTTCCAATTGAACATATTTTGGAAATTCTACCCTGTGTCCCCATTTGCTCTGGTGGCATCTGAACAGCATCCAAAGTTAACACCAGAGGGCGTCAGAGTACTGGAAAACTGGCTTTCCCTTTTCTTAATTAACGGGGGAATTTACTATTTCTCAGCTTACTGCAAGAGAAAAACCGAGTTACAGGCAGTTTTTCTGCTTGGCTCCTGTAATGACGCGATTGCTGAATACTTAACCTCACTCTTCATTTGGCTTTGTTAAACACAGATTTCAGCTCTGGCGAGTTCACACTGTTCTACCTCACCAGAAGCCACTACGGTTGCTTTTCACACTTACCTGAGAGGTGGCACATTTTCTCAAGATGTCTTTAGTTGCCCCGGGGGGTGGTGTGATCTTATTAAACAACCCCGTTCTCAGTCGTGGTGTTGGAACCAACAATGTTTTTTTGCTCTTTTAAAAGAAAAGACAATCAATAAATTACAAAATTTAAGATGGGAACTTTCTTGTGTATACTTTTAACATTTCAGGAACAGAAGCAAGTTACTATTACCTTCATTTTGGGGTGTGTGCCAAGGAGATGAGTTGTTTTGCAAACCCAAGTGAATAATACAGGGGGCCCATTTTACTTAGAGCAGCTGCACTACCCCGCCTCAGAATAAAGGGGCAGGGGGTTTGTAAAACTCGCTGACTCAACTCTACTTGCCATTCACAATGCTTACAGGTGAAAATGACAATGCAAATCCTGACGACCTTCCTGGGCCTTCTGCTCCCAGCATTAAGCACTATCCAGGTACAGGGATGTTTCATCTTGAAGCTGGCATTACACAGCCACATTGAAAACATTACCCCGTCAAGCACTTATATCTAGTTTGCTGCTCAATAAATCACAGTCTGAGAGATCAGTGCTCATTACAATTAGTATTTTATATTGACCTGTGTTGATAACCGTCTTCTTCTATTTAGTTCTCAAATACCTACTGCGAGCCCCAGGGCAGGGGTCTTCAAAGTGGGGGCCCCTGGCCAGCAGCGTCAGCAGCCCCTGGACACCTGTCAGAAGTGATCAGAAGCCCTGTGGGGCCCAGCAACCTGCTTTAACAAGCGCAGCCGGTAATCCTGATATGCAAGGAAGTTGGAGCAACAAGGCCCAAGGACACCGCTGCAGATTATTCAGGGTGGGCCATGAGGCAATCATAACATTTATAAACTCCTTCATGTAAAAAATCACCTGTTTTACTTTTTGTGCAGGAGATGACAGCCTGAGACCAACAAAAGACCTATAAAAACACAGTTTGGCTTATTAAAAAAAAGGTTTTCAACCCCGAGAAGAGTATTTCAGCAGAAGCAGCGAGTACGTGCTACTCTCCTTTTGAGTGTGACAGGGGTGGGTGGCTTTATTTGTAGTCCCCAGATCCTGGTACACTGCACACTACCCTGATCACCCCCCGGCTGTATGCCAGAGTGCCCGGGGGGCTCTGAGACTCAGCAGTGCACAGTTCCACTCGAGCCTGACTCAGAAGCGGACACTGGCAAGAGTCTCCAAAGCTCCTCAGGGGTGCTGACTTACAGCCAGTGTGCTCAGGCCCAGGGATCTCAAAGATCCATCAGGGCGTTTACTATGAACAGGTTCTAGAACCGAATGAAGGTCTGGGGTCAAGCCTGGGAAGCTGTGCCTGCAGGTGTGATCTGCGGCCGTAGGCATCACGCCATCCCTGCCTGCCGAGGTATGCACTTTCCCACACAGGATGAAAGGCGCCCGCAGATCGAGGAGTCTCAGGAGTTGTAGGGAAACTGAGTCAGCGCCCAAGGCCTGGTGGCGCACAGCAGAATCCCACAGACCCCGCCCTGCCACACGCAGCACTACACTCACTGTGAACCGTGTTTTGTTTCGGCAAAACATCATCCATTACTTTCAATGAGTGATGTTATCTGAATTTTACTGCTTTTATAGTTTTGTTTATATGTAATTTACATGTTTACTTTGGTTTTACAGTCACATAAGATCCTGAGCCTTATAATTTATATCAAGTTTTATGTTTATACTTATTTCTTATACTATATTTCTTCTTGAAAAGGGGCCTATTATATCTACGTTAAGAAACACTGTTCTAATTCATATATTTTGGGGACTCTTTTATCAGATCTCTTACTCATGGGTTATCAAGTTTCGAAGAATTATAGTATTACAAATGTAGCAGATGAAATATATTGTAATTGTTCGCTTCTGGAGAGGTACATTAGAATTGGGATGCCTCAAAGTCATGGTTTCAAAGTCTTTTCTCTTTTAATTCAGAGATGTTCAGGACTTCTAGACCGACAGACAAGGGAAGAGTTCTGGACCGTCCTGGAAAAAACAACTCCAAGGACACATTCTGCACTGGAGGGAGTCAGAAGCACCATCTTTCCAAATGTGGGACTGTGCACATTTGCCAGCCCCCTGGGGAAGGTGGGCCGCTCAGTAGCCAGGGCTCAGGCTCAGGGAATGGGATTACCTGCAGCGCCAGCAGCCGGACGCCTTCCAGCGGTTTATCAGGGTCCACTTTAACCTCCTGCGTTCTGGCAAAAACCGCGAGATCTTTGATGTTTTGGCAAGCCAGATAAGAGCCCTGGTTAGGCAGATAGACAGAGGTGCACTTACGTTGAGGACGAAGAAGCGGGCATTTTTCTGGGGTGCGTCAGGGTTGACTTTAATGGTTCTGGCCATTTTGAACGCCTGCAAACGTGGGAAATGCTCAGCGGCCCGAGAAGCACCCTGTTTTTAAATGCAAGTGCACGTTACTAAGAGGCCACCACCCTGGGCCACCCTCAGCCTGATGCTCCAGCATCTCCCCGAGACAGGCGCGGGGGCCGATTCTGAGACCAGGTCTGGGGTCACCCGAGAAATGTCTAAGGAAGCAGCCAGGTAGAAAGGGCTGAGAAGCCAGCCTCGCTGGCTGGGGCTCCCTCTCAGAGCACATCACTCCTTAGGAGCCAACTGTGTGAAAAGGCACCACAACAAGCGAATGCTTCCAGCCAGGAGAAATATTTCACTCTGTGCCAAACGGGGAACAGCAGCCTTAGCACCTCCTCATGGCAAGATGCGACCCACCCACCAACCCTGCACAGAAAGGCAAGAGGTGCTCGAGAGTGAAGGACATCTCAAAGCATAAAAACACCCCGGCCAGCTGGTTCAGATTTCACACCACTCACTGTTCACCGAGTTCAAATCCACCGTGAAGCAGGAAGGTAACTGTATTACCACTGTTACTCATTTAGGGGTATCCTGCTTTCATTGTGAACGCTCCAGGAAAGCTTCAGTACCTTGAAGTTGGGAATCCTGTGATGAACAGGCCGGGGAAAATCAGCTAAATTTTGCGCCTCCATGTAGTCCCAAATCTGCTCACGAATGTCCTGTTTGGAAACACCTATGGCAGTAAAGGGTGTGACCGATAAACGCACAGACAGGAAGCCCACAGCGCAGCAGTCCCAGGGCCCAGCGCTCGCCCGCTCCCGCTGCACCCCCAGCTCTGCCCCGCCAGACAGAACCTAGGGCTTCTGATCCCTACGTCGAAAAACTAGGGTCAGTGATAAGTTTTTACACCTCAATAAACTGCCACAGTCCAAACACAGTGTAAATTCAACGTAAACCAAGGGTTTAATTAAGCTAGTTCTATGAACCTGTAGCGGCGGGAGAACAAACGCAAGCCAAGCCATGGACCCAAGCATTCCTAACCCCTCACGCGGAGATACCAGTTCTGCTCAGTTAAGTCTCTGTGATCTCAGTCTATCGCTCTTGAGACAGCTGTGGTTACTTCACTCCTGTAAGTCCTGTTCGCTTCTCTTAGACCTAAGTGACTCGTAGCCCAGCTACTATTCTGGATTACCAACTACAACCCCCTTTATTGCGGGAATCTTTATTCTAGACCTCACTTTGGTAATGGATTTTTAGGCAACAAATATTCCTTAATGACGTGACTGGGAAAGTCCTAAGAAAATCCGCACCAACCACGTGCCCCTCCTGGAACGGAGAACCATGAAAAGCAGTTTCCAGTTAAGCAGGAAAAAATAAAATCAGCACATTCATATAAACAACTTTAAAATAGTCACTGAATTTTTGTTTTTCTTTGTCCGAAAGGATATCCCTGCACTCATACAGAAGTCTGTTTCAAATCACTTTGGTGTGACGGGGCACCTCTCATCACCCAGGCAGGAAACAGGGGCAGGTTCAACCTCTCAAGTCCTCAGTCTCCCCTGCTGGAGTGGAGGCTGCTCAAAAGTGACACAAGGGAGCTGCCCAGAGAGCTGGGAGCCACCACCCTGGGGGGTGGGATGTGGCTGGCAGCTGGCTTCTAGCCATAAACATTTAGGAATTGTGTGGCTTTGAGTCTTGTGAATAAATTACATTGTAAAAGCTTAATTCTTTTGTAAATGGAGCTTTAAAACATACAAAGGCATCTATGATGAAGAGCCTCTCTCCTCACGGTCTGCTGAGTACCAGGTCCCTTCCCCCAAGGCAATCAGTGCACCTATTTGTTCTAGTGAATTCTTCCCCAGGCATCTCAGACTTCTCCCTGGAGACACTCCATTCTTGCCCTCATCCTCTTTCCCTAAGAGGGTGTGCTATATACACGCAGCTACACATACTGCTTTCAACTCTGCTATTTACTTAGTATCCTGCAGACTGGTCCATATGGTATACAAAAGCACCCTCACCCTTTTCTGCAGTTGCACAGTTTTCCACGATGGGGGCAGGTCAAATTTTACTCAAGACTGATGGGCAACAGGTGGTTTCCAACCTTGTTACTGATGTATGCCTTACAGCCCTTGCCCATTTTATAGCCATTTGTTAAACCCCTACGTGTAGTTTTAAGGTGTTCAGGGCCAGAGCCAAAGGTTTCCGCTGCTTATGCCTACAGGCTAGACACAGGTTCCCCTGGAACAGCAGCCATACCAGGCCCTTCACAGCCAGGCCCCAGAGCCTCCTGGACTTCCTGCAAACACTGCTGGTGCCTCTTGACCCTAGCTGTGCTTCTGAACCACTGCAGAAATCAAGAATGCAGATTCGCGCGTACACGCATTTTCACGGACGCAGGCCAAGACTACGCTACTGTGGGCCTGGGTAGGGCCATGCGGGCAGTTTCCAGCACTTGGCTTGTTCTTTCCTGCCGGGAGCTCTGCATTTGCTGGTCTCTGCTGGAAAGTCTGTTCTACTCCCTGTCCCTCAGGCAAACCCTCACTCTCCAAGGCCCAGCTTCGGCACCACCTCCAGGAAGTCTCCCCTCCACGCTGTTCCAGTGCCCCGAGGATCCCTGGCACAGGGTGTGGAATGAGTTGCAGAGCTCTGCCGGCCACTTCAGCCTCATCTCCTGTCACTCTCACATCGAATTCAAAAAGTGGCCCAACCATGTCGGCCCCTAGCCCCACACGCCTGTCCCCCTGTCTTTTTCAGGCCTTTGTACCTCCTCTCCTCCCCTCCCCTCCCAGGTTCTCCGCTTCCTGTCCCTTCAGGCCTAGCTGAGACGCCACCTCCCCCAGAAAGTATTCTGAGTGCTCGGTCACAGACAGACGTCCCTCCTTTAGGACCCTCCCCCGTTGAGGAACCCAGAGCACGCTCACTGCTTGTTTTTTCAAACAGAAACCATTACATCGACACAACTATTAAAAGGCTACTATATTTATCACTTTCACCAACAACCCAGACATCCAATAATATCCCCAACACTGTGCACAGTGCTGTGTGGGACACAAGAGATGGAGGCATTGGGGCCCTTGCTCCACAGTCAATAAATCACAAACATCCCAGTGACTCCCATTTAGAAAGCAGTGGGCTAATTGCAAGGGGAGGGAGAGAATAAAAGGGCAGGTTCTTGCCCTTGGGAAGTTACCAAAACATGGGAAATAATTAGAACAATAAAAGGCGACATATATTAATGTGAGAAATGCATGAACCCTGTTCCGTAACTGCCCAACAGGTCAGCCTGGGTCTCGTTCCTTCTATCTCTAGCCCTGAGGTCACTCCTGGCATCTCCGAAGGCCTTTGTCACCATCCCACTGAACTGTGGGCACCTGTTTACTGTGCTGTTTCCGTGCTACCCGGACAGTCAGGGAGGAGGGGATTTATTCACGGTTGTCGAACCGGGCTTTAACAGACCCTGGGGCGCCAACGGCCTTAGTAACACCTTTGCCAGGCAATTCTGCAATGAATAACCAAAGCTCAGGGGCTCTGGGGCGAGCCTCCCCGAGGCCTAGGGCAGGGCCTGGGACAGCCTAGGTCTCGGAAACCATCCGTTAAGAGGTCTGTGATGCAGCACCCCAGCGTTTAGGTTAAACTGGCTTCCAGTCGTGCCCCTGCCAGCAGCTGTGAGCCTCCGTTTCTCCTGCTGTAAAGAGGACGTGATACGGGAGACACATCTCACGGGGACGCACAGACAGTACCACGTACCCAGAAGATGGCCTCCCTTCCTCTTCCCACCTGCTCCACTGACAGTGTCGGGTATCCGGGTCCCAACCCGCCGCAGGTTCGACCCCGCAACCGGCTCCGACCCCTCTGAGACCCCGCCCGCCCCTCCACGTCCCGTCTGCCCAATCCCCGGGGACCCCTCCGCGTCCACGCCCGTCTCTCAGGTGGTCCCTCCGGCGGCCCCTCACCCGCCCTCGGCTCCATGGCGGCGACGCCGTCAGTGCGCGACACCTCAGCCAGCGGAGTCCGGCACCAAGTGACGACACCTGCGCGCGCCCTCCAAGCGCCTGCGCACTGGCCTGGGTGGGGGTGCGGGCGGTGGCGTAGCCGCGGAGGCCTGGTGGGAACGTTCCGCGGCGCGCATGCGCATGCGGCTCCGCGGGCCTTGCGAAGGGAGGTGGGCGTGGGGCCTGAGGGTTTGTTCTCTGAGCAGGCCAAGCACAGAGGCCCTGCTCCGACGCGCGTTTGCCGGGCGCTGGGGAGCTACCGAGTGAACAACCCCTGGCCTGTCGGAACCCACTGCCAATTCAAACACAGCTACCTCCTCTTCTATTCCCCAGAGGCCCCCTACTCCGGGAAGCCGGCCTGGATTGCTCCTCCATGCCGCGATCCCTCTCCTGTGAGACCCTACAAACGTTAAATGCCACAGTTTATTTTGTTTCCTGACTTCCCCCTGCATCATCTACACACACACACACACACACACACACACACACACACCCCTCCTAAAGTGCTAAACAAATAAATAATTCTAATAAAAAAGGCTGGCTCCCGAGAAGCTAGAAGATTCCCTTCCCCCTGGGGAGCCGCTCTGCTTCACTCGGTCCTTTACAGGCCCCCTAGGGCCTCCCTTGCTTATCGTCACCGTGAGACCCGGTGGTCACTTTCAGGCAGGATGGTGATTCCAAGTCTGGTGTATTCTCTGGGGCTCAGAACACACATCCCACAGTCTGCAAATTCGGTGAAAAACATATAGCCTCCTCACCTCTTTCTCTCCCTGCCCTGTCCAAAAATCAAAGCCCTGTCTGCACCTCCCAGAGAGCAGTCGCTTCTTGCAGGCTCTGAGAATGAATCCTTTTACCCTACCGGGTTAATTAGGTTTGCAAGGCGGTGGTATAAGAAGCTAAAATTTCATAGACATTGAGTCATGTGTTCAGAAGTCATGCCTTCGCGCATACGCTATTGACTGTGTATATATAGTTATGAAATTACATAAATGTATGTTTCCATATAGACTATTTTTATTTATATAGAAGTTTGTATTTTAACGTTTTAAGTTGACTCTAATTTCCAAGACGCTAACCCTAATCTTAAAGAGGCAGCAAATTAATGGGTTAAGAGATCCTGATTCTCTCACTTGTAGCTGAAAATCTGTGGTTACTTAAGATCTCTAAACCTAAGGTTCCTCCCCTGTAAAATGGTGATATTAACAGTACCTACCCCAAAAGAGGATTAAATGAGATGTCACAGGCAGAACATCTTGGCACACAGTATGCATGCGTTATATTTTCCCTTATTTATTAGGGAGGAAAGTCTCGGACAAGTCATACATTCGTTCAATAAACACTTCTTGTGCACTATTATGCCCCAAGGTACCCTGCAAGGCACTGGGGCTGCAGAGAGAAACAAGACAGAGTCACCAGCTGCCTGGAGAGGTAGGACATGTGTGGCAGACATGAGACTGCTAAACAAAAGTCAGCTCACCCATCTGCCTGGGCACAGGGAAGACTGAACTCCCTGCCCCAGGGGTGTGTTGGGGCCACATGATCTGTTCAGGCCAATGAGTCGTGAATGGAAGTGCCATGTGTCACTTGGACACTTAATTCCCAGGGCAGAATCTGCCTCTCCTGCCCCTGCCAAGGTGACAGGAGGGGCAGCCTTTGAAAACCCAGGCTCCTGAGTGACACCCAGCTGGGGTTGGCTCAAGATGAAGTCAGTGAGACTTGGGTTGTTTGTTACTGCAGCATACACCGGCCTCAACTGACTGATACACTGTGTAAGCCAACCAGTTGCATAGCAACGTGCATAAGGGCAACTGTATAGAACTGGCATGAAACGGGCAGCAGAAAGAGGTATGCAATTGACTCTCTTTAAGAAGAAACATATGTATATCTTTAATATTCTGTTTCAGAAACATCTACAGTACTCTATTGGATTTCTTACAATTTTGATGGTATTAATTGTGGTGACGCTTGAATTATACAGATAGATAAGCTCCTTAGACAATCAGCGTTTGGTTGATATTTTTTTAAAACCACCACAAGTTAATGTGATAAACTCCATGGTTGTTCAAGATTGTTTTCCAGAAACTTCCAGAACACAAGGAGAGGGGACATTGGGGGCCAAATTAGGCCCCTACATTAGTGTTTGCAATACGGAAACCCTAATTTCCTTCCATGGAAAGATGTTTGCTCTGTGTCACATCCCTTTTTAAATTTCCAGACTAACAAAGGTGGTTTTCTCCCAATCTTTTTTTTTTAATTTTGAAAAATTTCAAACTTAGAAATTGCAAGACCAATAAACAATGAATACCCACATACCATGGGTTCAGCAATTGTCCTCATTTTAGTACATTTTAGACAACTTTCTCTTTCCTTCTCCTCTCTGTCCACACCCTCCCCCTTGGTTGAATCTTTTAAAAGTGGCAGAGATGATGAATATCAGCTCTAAATATTTTGACATGCATCTTTTAAAAACAAGACATGTTCTTACTTGACCACATATAATTATCACACTCAAGAATTTTAACCTTGATAAAAGATTATTACCTAATACACACGTGATATTCAAACTTCCCCAGGTATTCTCCTCTATTAGTGTTTTTAAAAAAATTCCTCCATCTAGGATTAAATATTGCATTTAGCTGTTCAGTTTCTTTAATCTTTTAACCAAGAACAGTCCTTACCCCTGTTATTTTGTTGTTTATGGTGCTACCATTTGTGAACGGTGGTTTGGACAGTTTTCATCAGGGACACACTTTTTGTCCTGGAAAAAATTTCTAGGAGCTGGATTGCAATGGATTTCTAAGAAGCAGCATTGGCTCTGATGAACTCAAGGGTTCATCAGATCCCAAGTAGCTTTTGGAAGACTGAGACTGCTCTCATTTCTGGTCCCTTTCCCTAAAACCTCATGAGCCCAGGAGAGAAATGTATTGAAAATAGTGAGGAGAGACACAAAAATCCTTCCACTTGTCTAATCTGTTGTTCCTCAAAAGCAGAAGCGGCTGCAGAGGTGTTGTAAGTCTCCCTTAACTTTGGTTAAAGTTAAGGGTTGTTAAAGCCAATGTCAGGCACACACATGCAGCCCAAACATTTTTGATGAGTTCCCTGAAACTCACGCCACACATCGGGCAGAAAGACAGCTGTCCTGGGAAGACACGAGGAGAGCAATTTGTTAACAACTCTGGCAAGAATATAGCCAGACTTGTAGACACCTAAGAGGCGCAGGTTTTATTTGCTTAAAACCTCAGCGAGTCTCCCTAAAGGGGATTTCTTGCTCCCCAAGCAGTTTCAAAGACACTTCTGTTTTCCAACACATCATGTTCTTGACACATCGCAAAGCTATGGAAAATGTTTTGTATTTTCTTGATCGACTCGCCGCGCACAGTTTATTTACCTTTCTCTCTCAGAGATTTTGAACTTTATTCCTGCCATGCAATGCTAAGGTGTATCCATAAGGTGTCAGCACCTCCATTGTAACCAGAACGGTTGAGTTTTCCCCCCCACCCCGCCCCACTATTTCAAGAGTAGTTCCCTGATAGGCCTCAAGGTGGCGCCAACACCACAGGTCCGCCCGAGCCGCCTCCAGGTGCACGAGCCCGCGGCGCCCAGGCAAGGACTCTGTGCGGTGGGGCGCGGGGCCGGGGGTGGGGGAGTGACTTGAATATCTTCTGCGTTTATCGTCGCTTATTATTCTACTAATGCACAGGGCTCTCCGGGGCCCGATTTGGCTTTCGGCTCACTGACAGCAAGGTCAAGAAAGGAAGAAATCAGCAGCCCCCAATCCAAAATACCTTGGCAGGAAAAAGAAAAGATCGGAAACATGGTTTTTGCAAAGTCCAGGTGTGTGGAAGGTGTTGTTTTAATAACCTGAACAAACATCTCTCCCGGAGTCCTACCGAGCGGAGAAGAAACCTAATTCCAGGAGCAAAGGAAAATGTCTCGCTCACCTTTTCTGTCTTGATTATAAGGATTTTTTCCCCTCCCATCCCACTCTTTTTTTGGGGGGGGGGGATAATTTAGGCCATTCAGCCTAGTTCTTTTCAGATGTCATTGGTTTAAACCTGGACACCCTTGTAAATATAAACTCAGGCAGAAACTGACATTTTGGGATTTATTTTCCGTGGTCCTTAGCTATTTTGGTTTTTGCCCTGTGCTGTGATAAGGCTTTTTTTCTTAAAGCACCTCGTAAAAGCAGAGTAAATAATATTCCTCCAGGAAGTCTACAGACTGAGGAGTGTTTCTTGATCAATAGTTTGCATTTCCAGTAAAATTGTGAGAACTCGGGCTGCCTGTCACGTACTCCAGGAGAAAGACACTTTTTGCTAGAGGTTTTTTTGGTTTTTTTTTAATGGATGTGAAAATACTAGAGGTATGAAAAAATAATAAAGTTGTAGTGGGAGTTGGAGGGTTGCGGGGAACGCTCAAACCATTCACCTGTGAGCTGAGGACTGGGCAGTTTATTTTACTTCGTTGCCCCCCCCAAAAATCAAGTTAGAGAAAGAACCCAGAGCACCCATAAAAAAAATATAGCGAATGTTTCAGAAGCAGAATATTCGAGGTAATAGGAAACTATTTTGCACTTTCCCTTTGATTTTGAATTTATCAGGAGATAATACCATTCAAAGATAATGCATATAAATGTTTTTCTTTTGTTCTGTTATTGAAAATGAATGAAGTATCCCCAATGCGTTCTACTCACCTCCCCCAAAGATAAGACTGACCGTAGATTCTCTCAAACCCTTTTCCTGGGAATCTAATAAACAACTGATGGGAGAGTGAGGAGGGGAAAAGGAATCCCGAAATACAAAAGTTTTATCCGAAGTCTTCTTCCCTTCCCAACCAGACCGACAACTTCCAGAAGAATTCTGACCAGCATTTAGCCCGTCTTATAGATGTCCTGCCCCTTCGGGGAAGCGAGCGGAGGGAGACCTGATTATTCGAGGTGTTGAAGAAATAAATAC